AATGTCACTAATGATAAAGACCGGGGTTTTTCACGGCGTGTTTCTGAAGGCAGGCACTTTATTTAGGTGTCTGAGTGGAGGGGGGCAATTTTCACCCACGATTTCCAAGACTTGCTTTTGAAAGCACTGGCCCGGATATCACTGACATACCTAGATATTGTAAAATTAAGCAGGCTGGTCTGGGTGCTTTGCACCAGAGAAAGTAAAAGTGCAGTGGTCGTTTCAAATGCTGATGTACTAAACAGGATGGGACCAGCCCCCACCCCACATGTTTGTGTGCCACAAACATTGCTATTTTCTGCCTCACTGTGACCACACAGGACTGAGTCACCTAATTCGTAGCTGCCAGTGCAACGTAGCCAGCTCGTGGCTGATGGAAACATCAGCCTGGATCTTATCCCAAAGCACGCTCTTCTGCTCCCTGCTCCACAGAAATTTTTTGCTGCAGCTGAACAGCTTGCAAATAACGAAGTATAAACAAGCACGACATGCAAAGGATGATTTTGCAAGCTGTGGGGCTTTCATCGGCTGCACCACGGACTCTGGAGCTGGGCACCTGAACGGTGCTTCCCCACAATCTCCCCTGTGGTTCGACAGCCATATCCAGGGGAAAATTCAACAAGTCTCTATTTTCAGCAGCCAGTTGGTAAAATAATTACTTTTGGCTGAACCAAATTAAATGTCACTGAGCCGTAATCAAAACATGGTTTTGTTTTCAGAGAACACTTGAGCTCGAAGGCCGCTGAGCCCGTCCCTGCCCATGCTGAGGTGGTGGCCACGCTGCGTCTCAACACGCAGGGGGGAAATAACATAGACTTGTTTCCACTTTTCTCTGTTCTCACCTGAATGACTGGATCAAGGTTAAACAACCGCAGACAGAAGGGAAAAGATCCCTGACCAGGGGTGGAAATGTGAAACACCTCAGATGGGGTTCATTTTTTAATTGCCGTCAGATGCGCTCAGGGGCTGTGGCCAAGAGGGCAAGAACAGACAGGGCTGTCTGCAGGATGGGAGATTTCTGGTGGTGAAGCCCTCTTGGGGTTTTTTTGGGACAGTTACATATAAGACACCAAAGGAATGGCTCAGAACTACTATCCCCACCTACAGTGTTTCTTTTCCTTTACATTTACGGTAACGACGTTCGGGCAACAGTTTGCTTTTCTCAGTTCCCACTTGCTATTCATTGTGAAACTTGGTAAGATTGGCCATGTTGTAATGTTACTCCATGAGTACGTGGATAAAGACATTTGTCTTCAACAGTTCTTTTCTGTATTCATGAACCTATCCCGTTGTTTGAGTCATTCCTTAGGGCGTATCACATAGTTGGCATTGCTCTGGCAGAAATCTTCTGCTATCCCTCTCATTATTTTTACTGTGTATATAAAACATATGCAGATGTTTTTTGATACTTTGTCCAACCACTTAAACATTGAGTTCCACAATGAATTGCAGAAATTTTCCTCGTTGTGACTTAGGCATGGTTTGGAGCAATGGGCAGATCTATAAGAACAAATACTGAAGTAAAGTCCATGTAATATGAACTACAGACTACAAAGATCAAGTTACAAACTGAAGTACTCTGAAGTTCACAGTGGAAATAATTAGTCTGAAATCAAAGTTTCTACCCTAACCCTGACCATGTGTGCAAAGGAAAGGGATTCATTTGGTTATACTACAGAACAGCTTTCCAAACTGTACAGCGAGTGCTGCTATTTATTTTCCTTCATAAATGTAAAATTCTTATTTTAGATTATCTAGCCTTCAATTTAAATGTCAATTTAAATTAACTTCACAATCACTGCTGTTAAGTTACTTACTTAATTCAATTCAGAACTTCATGGAATATCTGAATCCTAATCTGTTAAATGAAACTTGACCTTCTATGAGAGCAACCAAGTAAAAACCCCTCTTACGCCTTTTTCAGTTGCAGGAAATACTAAGGAAATGTTACTGACAAAGGCTTCAGGGAGAAAACATTTTCAGTGCCCAGAATAGCATTTTAAAGGCAATCTTGAATGAGAACCTTTGATGTCTTACAACTTTTTCAGTATCTGAGAATTACCTGCTGCTGGAAAACTCTCAGGTGGCTGAATACTGCTTTGGCAGACAAGTTTGTCTTTGCCCATAATTAGGGTTCGATCTATAAAACATCTGTATATATATATTGAGGAGCAAATTTTACCCTCAGAAATTCAAATCTACAAGCAAATTTGCTTCAGAATAAACATTTACTTCTGTTCATGTATGGGATCGCAAAATGTAAGGCAGAGCAGTACAAGTGACAGAAGATCAGCCTACATTTTTTATACCTCACTTCATTAAAACAAGGTCTCCTTAAATCCTTTATTATGCTGCCTTGTTCCTTTTTAAAACATGGCCTTATTGCTGTTCATGTGCTTAATGTCCTTGAGCGTAGATGCAGCATCCAGATTTGGTCATATCTTATTCATCATCTGATGTAACAGGGTACATTTCTAAGCTAAAGACACCGCCTGGGCAGCCACAGAAAGGATGTGTGAATGTCCTCACGTTCCCTTTTGCCACAGAGCAGCAGAAGTTTTCACACTGACGTTTGCTGACAGGGAACAGGCTGACACCCACGTGTGCCCACGTGCGAGCGTCTGTGACCGCAGACCCCACCCCAGTGGGATTTCTGAAGGGGCAGGTTTTGACACTTGTAGACAGAGAGTTTCTGGATATTCCCAGGTTTCCTGTCACTATGGAAAGGGGGCATGTGAGGGGCACTGCTAGCACCCTGGGAGAAACTCCAGTCCCTGTGTTACTGTAGCTGTGATGACCTATAACGGGTGAAAGTGAATCCAGTTTTGTAAAGGGAAGCTGCACCTTGCCAGCCTGACTGAAGATGGGTGAAAGCCTCTCTCAAGTCTCTCCCTAGTTCCTTTCAGGCTGAAGAATTATTGCTGCTTTTGCTGGTTTCGGACTCCCTGCATCTTGATTTTGACAGCAAACTCCCCAGAATAAACCACACTTGTTCTTTCTTGTGTGCAACAGAACTTACACACCACTTTTGCTGCACTAGGAGTAGTCTTCTTTTTAGAAAGAGGGTTGATGTTTTCATCCTAGGTTTGATGTTTTCTTTTTATCCATTTTCTCTAATTTAACTAGAGATGATGTTAGCAGTGTCAGCCCAATTGTACTGAACCTCTCAAAGGTCTTGCCCTTGATGATATTGAGGCAAAAACTTCCACAGCTTTTGTGTCTCATAAAAAGCCACACTGTCTTACACTGGCTTTAAGTGTGTTGTATTTTATTATACTTCTTGTTATGTTTTATCAGGTATTTACTGAAATCTATAATTTAAGTAAATTTGCTGAGAAGGGGATGGTAGTAGCAAGCTCTCACCAGCTGAGATACAGTACCCTGGTGCTCTGCTCAAGCTCCCCAGCTCATTCAGGGAGGGCTGAACTGAAGCAGGAGTGTTCACAGCTCAGCCAAGCACTGCAACTGCAAACACTCCCCTGACTGTGCTCTACCCCTTCGTGGCAAAACTAGGTTATTCGTTAGGCACTAAACAACATCCAGTATTTCACCTTCCCCACAGTCCCTACTTCCTCTGTAACTTACTCATGTCCTTTGCAGGCCAACTATGCTCTAATCCATGCTCACAATTCAAATTCATGTTCTTAAGCCTGGCAAAAGCGTTTGCTGAGTTTTACATTCTGAAGTGGGATTGGGACTTTCACCTCTGCCCCTAAGCGATGGTCATTTACTGGTGTGACATCTCACAGGCTTAGAATACACCAAAGGCATGAAACACGTAGAGATTCTTTTGTCTCTGTGATATACTCAGCTTCAAATTCAGTTATGGATGAGGGATTTTCATTTTCCCCCACAGGAATATGACCACTCTCAGTACACCAGGAACTTTATCTATTATACACTAGGAAGAACAGAAAATTCCCCCGAAAAAAAAGCACACTAATTAAATCATACGAGATTATTTCTAAATGAATCATGAACGAATGATGTCTACCACTTTTGCTGTCTTATTAGTAAACGCGGTTGATAAGTACATCAAAAGTAGCTCTAAAGTGCGTAGATTGTGAAAATTCAGTTAATCATGGAATCACAGAATGGTTTGGCTTGGCAGGGACCTTACAGACCATCTAGTTCCAACCCCCTGCCATAGGCAGGGACACCTTCCACTAGACCAGGTTGCTCAGAGCCCCATCCAACCTGGTCTTGGAACACTTCTACAGATGGAGAGTCCATAAGCTCTCTGGGTAACCTGTGCCAGTGCCTCAGCACCCTCACAGTAAAGAGTTTCTTCCTAATATCTAATCTAAACCTACCTTCCTTCAGCTTGAGGCCATTCCCCCTTGTCCTATCACTCCAAGCCTTGTGAAAACTCCCCCTTCAGCTCTCTTGGAGCCCCTTGAGGTACTGGAAGGTGCTCTAAGGTCTCCCCAGAGCCCTCTCTTCTCTAGGCTGAACAGCCCCAACTCTCTCAGCCTGTTTTCATAGCAGAGGTGTTCCAGCCCTGTGATCAGCTTAGTGGCTGTGCTCTGGACTCGCTCCAGAGGCAGTTTGGTTGGCAATCCTAACAGAGTCTGTGTGGGGAAACTGTCAACACGTCCAGTTTATGTGCAGTTGCAGATCTTGGGAGAGCTCTGCTCCATTGTGCCCGTGCCAACACGGGAAGTGTGCCCTGTCAGCAGCACTGCTTCTGGCCACACTCAGCACTGATCCCTATCTTCACATTGCCCCCTCCCACCACCTCCACGAGCATTAATTAAAAGGGATTCATGAAAAAGCTTTCACCATGCAGCAGTTTGATTTCTACTCCAGATGGCCCTCAGCGAGGGAGCCAAAGAGCTGGGCCATTTGACCTCAAGTGCCCTCTTTTTAACTCACAGCAAGCACGTCAGCACTGCCATAAACATCACACCTCCTGTGATAGGGCTGCCTGGCAGGCTCCTCTGACTTTTGTCACCCTCTTAATCACACTTTCTCCCAAAATCACCCCGTGCTGCACTGACCTGTTTGAGCCAGGGCTGGCAGCCAAGACATGGGGGGGCTTGGGAAGGAGGCATGTGTCACTTCTCAGATCCTTTGCTCTCTCCTAAGTGGCAAGGCTTGGTTACTTCGAGTCCTCCTTGCAGAAATTTTGAAAAATGCCTGTTAGGGAAGTGGAAAATAAAGAGTATTTCAGTACCCTTTATTCGGTACTGCACTTACATTTGTTATTTAAATCCAGTGCAATTTGTTGTGAGCTTGAGAAACTTCTCTTACCCTTACAGACCAGTCCCCAGGACACACCCAGTCCCCACAGTGCTCCAGGGTGCTCCTGCAGCTGATCCACACAGCCCAACTTCCACCAAAGCTGTTCTGTGGTCTCTCTCCCTCTTTGGGGATCATGTGAGAACACAAAAGTAGACATATGAACCACGTACATTTTCACCCAGATTACAAAATACTCATTCCACTCATCATGTGGAGATGGAAACACACACAGGCCAAGGCAACTGCAAGGTTGGATCCAGCTTGAGGGGGGCAATGAGAACCATCCCCAGCACCCACCTGGGGTAGCACTGGCAGCGTGTGGCACCGGGCACTACTCCTGCATCCTGAGGAATGTACAGCAAGTATCACTGTCCCCCAGGTTTGATGTTTCCTTTTTATCCACTTTCTGTAATTTAACTAGAAATGACATTACCAGTGTCATCCTAATTGTACTGAATTACCTCCCAAAGGTCTTGCCCCTGATGATACTGAGACAAAAGTTTCCACAGCTTTTCTGTCTCATAAAAAAAACTCACACTGCCTTACGCTGGCTTTAAGTGTATTGTATTTTCATTATACTTCTTGTTATGTTTTATTATATATTTACTTCAATTTACTGATATTTTCTATAGTCTGAAATATGCTTTAAATGCTTCATGAAAGAACCAAAATTAACCTTCTAACTTACCACCAAAATAATCTCCCAGAATGAATCAGTAAAACCTCCAAGCCATTTTCAAGTAAAGTGATACCACATTGCCAGAATGACAAGCACAGCATTGCCTCACAGATGATAAACCAGAACTGAATTTGAGAAACCTCACACAGACTTTCTACAGTGAATCATCTTTTTTTTTTATTATTATTATTTTTAGATGGGGGTTGAAGAAAGGGTGATTCATCCCATTCTGAAATTGTTTTCTGTTTCAGTACAACTTTGTTTTCTCCAACACCTTTTGAGCAATATTGGAAGAGCAGAATAACAATTAAATCAGTCCCAGCAGAAGAGAAAAACAAGTCGGGGGACAGGAAGAGGCATTTTCTGTCTGAGATTTAGGAAGGAGTGGAGAAGCAACGAGGCAGAGTTTTACAGAAAAAAGCTCCTCTCAAGGTGAACAAAATTAATCTGTTTAAAACAGAAACAGAGATTCTGAAGCCAGAGAGAGAAACGGTCACTACTGAGAGAAAAAGAAGATACTGGGAGACGCGGGCTTTCCAGTGAGGCCCTGGGAGCTGTTTCTTTGCCCTCACGGGAGCAGAGTGACGAGGACACGCCAGTTTTGCTGCAGCACTGGCGGGTGGGTGACGTCACAGATGCTCCAGAGCAGCGGGAGGAAGCAGTGGATGAGGATGCAGCGATACCATCGAGGCAGCGCCGAGCGCTGTGGGAGCACCAGGCACTGACACGCTCACAGGGCAGAAGTAAAAGATGAAATAGTTGCTAAAATAGCAAGTAATAAGCAGGATGGGTCAGGTTTGGGAATGCATCTCTTGCCCAAAATGGGGATGTCTGGCTTTGAGACTTCTAGCAAGGAAGCTGAAACAAACCCACAAGCTTTCTTGCTCAGACAGCCAGAGTGACTGTGGGTAGCCACTAGCTGTGACTAATGCCACAGAGGCTCTTACCAGTGCTGAGCCCATGCAGGTCCTGCATCTTGCAGCAGGAGGTACATGGCAGGCACTGAAGTCACTCACTCATGTGCCTCTCGCCTATACATTTAGGAGAAAAATACTGCCTGCACATTTAATTCTCAGAGCCTTGGGTAAACTGATGTACTCGGTGAAGTCATCCCAGGAAAACTGTTTGCCAGGAAGGATTTGAAGGAGGAGAAGAGGATGGCTTGGCATCTCTATTGCAGCAGCTGTTCCCAAAGGTGCTGCAGATGTTGTTGTCTCCTGCAGAAGGAGCAGCTGTCTCCCACAAATGTGCTCCTGGGACGTGGTGGTGTTCCTCCAGGCACGAAGGATGTCGGACTCAACCCCTCTAGTATCACCCTCTCTTCTCCAAGACACCCACCATAACCACATCTTCACCCCTTTGTGACTGTGGTTTGAGGTGACCTGAGCATTAGAGGTACTCTGTCAGCCTCAGAACCCTGGGTGTTGTTTTCTCTCCGCTGGTGAGACATAAGAGACATGACCTCAGCTACACAGCTCCCCAGCAAACCAACTGCCCACCTCCCACGCCCCAGGAAAGGACATCTCCTTCTTGGTGCACAGGTGAAAGATGCCAGAGTGCCCCAGTGCTGCCAGCAGAACTGGAAGAGAGCAAAAAGCAAGAAGGAGAAAAGTCCTCCTCACACAAGTGAAAGCAGAGGAAATTCAGGGCGACGGGGGCAAGTCTGAAGCCTTCAGTGTAGGCGATTGTCCTTAGCTCCTGGCTGCCCTGACAGGCACTTGTGTGGCATAATGATGACATTAGTGAGGAACAAGACACTAATCAGGTCGAGGTTTCGGGTTCTTTGCTTCCCTCCTAGACAACGGTTTACAAAATATAAACCAAATAGTTGTTTCAAAACACCAACACGCAGCGCTAAGGTGGGGTAAGCCAGGGGCATTGCTTCCCTGCTGGTTCTCAACCAAACATGATCACTGATCCTTACTCAAGCAAGAGCAGATAGGCCCAGAACAATGTCTATCAGACCCACCCCAAAGAAAATCTTGCTTGCTGTCCACATAAGAGCATCAAATATTTTTGCCTAAGGCACCCAGGGGCTGTTCCTGCTATCCGTACATATTTTAGAACCATCGAGATGCAGGACGGCGAATGTAGCTACTGAAACGGTCCTGCTGCTGCCTTTCCTGTGCAGGGACTACTCAAGCATTTCTCGTGGCTTACCTGGAGGGGAGCAGACTGCAGTCTTGCACGAGGGTTTGGATGACAGCTGGCCTGGTGTGGGTCCCCATGAGGGAAGCTCTGCCATGCTGAGTGTGTCACTACATGCACCTTGAAGCTCCCAGGTGTGGGGGATTAAGGGCAGCTTCCCTGTGCACCAACTCTTTTCACTTCTAAAAGGCAACTGAGCTTACTCTGCATCGCTGTACGTTCTCTAAAGCAGCAAAGAAATAAAAAAGATATTTGATTTTAAAAAGTCGATTTAAATTATTCTAAATGTTCTCAGATTTCTAAAGCAAATAAAGTGTTTTTACATGCACCAGGCTGTTTGTCATGGAAAGCAGTCTCCAAAAGGAAACCCACTCATTATCTTGTTCAGGCTAAGTTAGAGAATGGCAACCTCCTGGTGCCTTCTCTTGGCTCCCAGATAAATCCACTACACCCTTCCCCTGAGCCTCACATCTCCCCAGACCTCAGCCTTGGCAGAATGGACTACACGTGTATTTTATCTTTTGTAAAAAGACTTGCACGGATTTTGAATTGAAAGCCTTCAAGGTATTTTGTGATTTAGAAAGAATACGATAAGTATAATAATAATAAGTTTGTGTTTTGAGTGACTTCCTACTGTATCCTCTTGATAAAGTGAAGGCCACACGCCTCCACAATTTTCCATTTGCACAGAATTCCACCAGTTTAATCAAAGTGAAACATAAGGTACTGTTATGGTCCTTGTACTTTCAGATTTCCTTACTGATAACCCACATACAATCCGTTAACCCATTGCATCATTCAGAAGAATAAACAACCTGGGCTCAGCATACAGGAAGCTGAACAAAAAGGAAATAGAAAATATTAGTTTTCATGTATATATTTTCACCTCTGCACAGTTCAGGCTGAAGCATTTTCACAGATCAAGGCTGTCCTTCAGATGAGCCTGTTAAGTTCCCTATGGAAACAAAAAGCATTTCCTATTTTTATTTTTTAAGTCTGAGCCTTTTTCATTTAAACCACTGTTTAGTCCAGTCCCACTGGACTAAAGGATGGATCCAGTGGTTAATAAGGGTAGCAGAAGTCAGACTTATTTCCCATTCTCTGGTATCATCTATACTGCAATATTAAAGGTTAGGTGTTTGTGTAGTGCCAAAGATCAGCATCTCAGCCACACAAGCTCAGATATATACACAATGGAAGTGGCAAGGGACAATATAACCATTTCCTTGGGGACACAGACTGAAAAATCCAGGTTTTTTACCTCTAATAAGGAAGTATTTCCACAGTTTGAGTAAAAGAAAGGTGTTTAATACCTCTGCTCAGATGCAGAGGTGGGAACTCTTACAGACACTTAGGTTAGAACCTCACTTCAGGGACAGAACCAAACACCCATCTATTTCTAGGTATGTCACAGGACAAAGACTTTCCAACAAGAGGAAGGATCCAGTATCAAACCAGTTTAATCCCTGTGGATGTACTGGCTCCAGCTGGGATGGAATTCACTTTCTTCACAGATAAAGAAAGCCTACAATGCTGTAATTCGGATTTGTGACAAAAAGGTGGAGAAAACACACCAGTGCTTTGTCTGTGGCTCAACAGTCCTTGCACAGCATCAAGGCTTTCTTCAAAAGGCTGATCTGCTGCTCACATCATTTTGTTAATAGTATGAAAGATTTAACTTTTTCAGTCAGTCCTGTAAAACTTCAGTGGGTTTGAGTCACGTTATTTGGTCCCTAAGTTATTTCAGGGGCTGCTCATGAAACCTGTCACTGATTTTTGCTGAAGTCACTGCAATAAAAGAATGTAACAGGTAGATTTGTTCTGAAACTCTTTTAAAGAGTACCTGTCAATAAATCAATGCAGGCAGAGGATTATTTCTGTGGGTATTTTGGTGGATATAGGAGAATTCCTTGACATACAGTGCACAGTAAGCTAAACACTGAGCCAGTGAAGCTGCTGGGAAGGTCAGGAATAGAAGTTCTTTCCCTGGGGGTGTTTGTAGGCTGAGCATTGCTCAGCACCCCATCCAGCCCCACACCCTGCTGGGCAGGACCTGGCTGCCCCATGTCCTCTGCGTGCCTGCACTTATGCCTGGGCATGCTGGCTTGATTTGACCTTGATTTCATAGTTTTTTTCCTGAACAAGCCCAAGAGGATCTCACATTGCCAAAAGGGAAGGTCCTCTGTGCAGTAGGTATTTTTTCCTCTGCTTTCCGTACCGCCTAAGGAAACAAGCACTTGTACTTTGAACACCTCCCCTTTGCTGATAAAATGGTTTTCCTCAGCTCTAAGATACTTGCCACTCTCACACGATGCTAAATGGAAACACTGTCATCTGCAAACAAAACTACA